GATATGTATCTGAGAAGGGATAATGCTATGTATCTAAGACGAATAATGGCATTTATCTGAGAAAGATAATGGTATCTATCTGAGAAGGATGATGGTATGTATTTGAGAAGGATAATGGCATGTATCTAAGAAAAATAATATTATGTATCTGAGAAGGAGAATGGTATGTATCTGAAAAGAAGATTGGTATCTATCTGAGGAGGATAATGATATGTGTCTGAGAAGGAGAATGGTATATATCCGAGACGGGAGAATTGTATGTATCGGAGAACGAGAATGATATGTATCTGTGAAGAATATTGGTATCATCTGAGAGGAAATATCTTACCGATTCAATGAGTATAGTGATAATAATTATACTTACTTTAGTAAGAAATATCTGCCTGATCAGACGAGTATTGTTACGATAATGACTAAATGTTGATTAAATATGGCCCTCCCCTCTTCCAGCAGCTGACAGGAACTTGAATAAGTTCACACTCCAGGGAACGGAAATCTTACAGATACAAATTTGTACTAATTTATTTCCATTCTAGAAACTAATTACAGAATGGGGGTCTTTCAATAACTTTGTGCAGTAATGATCAGCAGTTATACGCAGCGTCTGACATCATTAGTTGAAGATATCCACTTGATTTGACATCTCAACAGACAGAAATGGAACAGTCAAAGTCAAAGCAAACTAATCAATGAAAAAGCGTGCGTCCAACTAAATATAAATCCACAATCAAACAACGTCCTAATTTTATTCTCTCTCTCTCTCTCTCTCTCTCTCTCTCTCTCTCTCTCTCTCTCTCTCTCTCTCTCTCTCTCTCTCTCTCGTTTCAAATAATCATCAGTACCAAATGATAATATTAGTCCCAACTATCACTTTTCCATATACGTATAATCGGTATAAATATATACCTGGCCTATATCTGACAAAAAAGTTCTATTCAGACTTTAGTCTCTGCAAATTACGATATGATTGTAAAACAAGAAGAAAAAATTAGGCAGAGAAGTCAAAGAGTACATACATACATACATATATTCATACATGCGTACATACATACATACATACATACATACATACATACATACATACATACATACATACATACATACATACATACATACATACATACATACATACATACATACATACATACATACATACATACACACACACACACACACACACACACACATACATACATACATACATACATACATACATACATACACACACACACATACCTACCTACCACATACATACAGCTCCAGTGGCCTAGTGGTTATAGCGTCCGCCTCAGATGCGGTAGGTCGTTGGTTCGAGCCCCGGTCGAGTCATAACAAAGACTTACAAAAATGGTACTAACAACTGCCTCGCTTGACGCTCAGCATTCAGAGGTTAGTGTTAGGACTGGTCGGCCTGGTGTCAGGATAATGTGACTGGGGTCTGCGGCATATTGCTCCCGTGCTAAACATCACTATAAACTGCCACACTGCAGATATCACAGTGATATGACTGAAAAGTTGTTAAAGACATACATACACACACATACATACATACATACATACATACATACATACATACATACATACATACATACATACATACATACATACATACATACATACATACATACATACATACATACATACATACATACATACATACATACATACATACATACACACACATACATACATACATACATACACACACACACACACACACACACACACACACACACACACATACATACATACATACATACATACATACATACATACATACATACATACATACATACATACATACATACATACATACATACATACATACATACATACATACCTACGTAGTACTTACACGCATACAATATGGAATCAGATCGATGTGGGCTCAGCTGTTGCCATTATCCATTATAAGCTATCTAAAGTATACTAGGTAAATAACGAAAAGAACTTTATTGGTGTGTGTAACATAAAAGTGTCTATTGTATACAGCCAGACGAATGATAGACATTTCCGTGGTCTTTCAGACAATAACGGATTATATTTCATTTCTCCACTAGATCACTTTTCGTGTACCAATATTACGTTCTTTTAACACTATTAAACGTATTTAATGTATTTTTATCAGCACTCACAGAATCCCCCAAAGACATTTTGCCGACTATTAATCCGTGCGTATCAGTAGTTTTCATAGCGGGATGTATGTCTCGATTTAAGAACTACATATATTCATAGGAAGACAGACAAAAATGAAAATCAGATTAAGCTATCATAGGAGTTATTTCTTAATTAAAAAACTATATAAAAGGCACAAAGCTAGCTTCGTTCGTCTTAATTTGCAGAATTTTGTAAATAGACACAATGGAAAGGGAAAACACAACACAAACAAAAAATAACACATTATAGCTTACCATTGCCAGGGCATATACCCTACCCAACTTACCGGGACCCCCGAGTGGCCGAGTGGTATAAAACAATATTCGTTACGTATCACTGTCATCTCACCTCTGTCTGCGTGAGTTCGAGTCTAAGATTCGGTGAATGTGGATATGTGAGAAAGCTAGCCAATAGCTTCTCGTGAGTCGGTGGTTCTTTCCGCGAAATTTCCGGTTTCTTCCTCCACCATTAATACTGGCCGCCATGTATAGCCTATTTTGTGCTGAAAAATAGCGTTAAGCCCCACAACAACAACAACCAACAGTTACCACATCATATTACCTACACTTACCACAGCATATAGCCCACCAGGTATCGAAACATATAGCTAACCTGTACAACAACATTATTATCAATTATATACCATAGCATATAGTCCACAAAGTACCACAGCATATAATCAACCCAGTAACATTGCCAGAGTATACAGGTGTAAATGTGATCCTTCTTAAAGAAAAACAATTGAAGCAGCCAGCATTAGTCTAGATTGCACAGTTTGAAAAGGGTTTGTGAACTATACTGTCAGCAATTTGTGAAAGTCACCAAAGACCGTAAATTTAGTTGCCTTTATCATTCGACTGCTTTTTGTTTTATTCTTAAGCCTATATTTCATGTGATGAAAAGAAATAAGGATATGAAACTGAAATTATTTTGTCCATTTGTTTTTATTTTATTATTTGAAACTTACTGGAAATATTTAAAAAGAAAAACAATTGACAAGCGAAAAGAATGTTTATAAGTACATACCTATACAATCAAGTTTCCGTATTATCAAAAAATCAAAGTGTTTTACATTTCTTTAATATGATATATAAACAAGATTTCTTAGTTAGGGTATAGGTAAATGGTTACATATTTAGTTAATACAGGTATATAAAAATTATTATCTAGACAGATAATCATGGTATGGCTAATCTAACCATATAAATAAATATTCACCGACATGCGGTGGGCTATCAGTTTGAAAATTAATTTTGAAACAAATAATTTTGTTATAACACATTTTCTGCTATCAGTAAAAAAAGTAATGAAAACTTTGTTAACTGCCGAGTGAATCAAACATGAATGAATCATATACAACATTTTCAATCAGAAATATTTGTTTAACTATAGGTAATAAATTAGAGATTTCAAGATTAATGTTTATGGACAAAGTCGAAAGCGGTCTCACATTTATTTCAAAAGAGTATTATTTCTATCGTTGATGTTGGCCGTTGGTTTCATAATCGCAATCTTTTAAAAGCTCATTTGTTATTTATTATATGATATTCATCTGATGGTATGACTTCCCAACAGACGTTTTTCAACTTGCAAAGATTCAATTACAATGCTTAATCACTATTAAGCCTCAGTAGGAAACAATCATGTCTTGTTTGCATGCAGCTCGGGTACTCGGGTATGTTTGTCCCTTACCATATAGAAAATATAATTCTAGTATGCATTTACATTTGAATCGGTTTATGGAAAAGTTGACGGGTGGGTATTATTACTTTTTTACAATCCCATTAAAGGGAAAGCAATAGAGTAAAACATGGTTCTTAAAAGGCTCCATTAACTTAAAATGTCAACCATTGATCATTTTCTTCTTTACCTAAATTAAATTAATTTTAATTGTTGTATATCCTGTCAACATTTTAAAGACTATAGTACCCAACACCTTCCTTTATCTGGATGCACTTTCTTCTTCAGAGTAGCTTATCAGGGTGTGTCTATTGATTACCTGTATTTTAAAGCATTCGTCCTATTTACATCGATTGCCTATATCTCCATGCCTTCGTCCAAATCTGCATTGACTTTCAAAATCGTAACACCTTTGTCCAATGTGCATAAGACTGCATTTACCTCAATGCCTTCGTCCAATGTACATCGATTGCCTATATTTCAAAGCCTTTGGCCAATGTTCATCGATTGCCTATACCTCAGTGCCTTCGTCCAATGTAGTAGCATAATTATGCAGGGTTTGGCTTTTTGATCTACTAGGCCTGTTGATACATGTCACAGCTTCTCTCTCCAATGACTTGCTAAGCGAGCTCTATGTTAAATTCCTACGTTTAATCAGCATTAATAATCTACGAAGATGACCGGTCATGGGGAATAGAGGCTTATGCGTGTATCGGATCTCAGCAGGCAAAGGATAGCTTCCTGGTCAGATTAACACAACTCATAATATGTACAGCCCATGTAATGATTAGCACGCAGAGATGACTGTGTACAGTAGCTGAACACATCACTTAGGCTGTGGTAAGATTGTATCAAAACGGCTGAGCTTTCTTCATATTAATCTCAGACTTCTTGTGGAGGAAGAGAACCCTATAGGCTTTGCATTACCTTAATGATTTGTCGCTTATACATTACACGAGGTGAATACATCGAGAATACCATTTTGCCTTTTGTCGAAACAATCCCTAAATGTCTTCGCACCTTGTGCTGCAAACAATGATTGAGTTTTTTTTCACGTGAGTATTCCAAGCTTAACTCGAGATGGTATTGGCACGTCAGGATGGCTCCAGTAATTAGTTTATATTTGATGTTTATCATCATTACATTTCAGTATATACAAGGGTCTGGTAACTCCACTCTGACACAGATTTTCGCCGACAACTTGTACAAGCGTATCATCAATGTTAGCATCCGCTTTCAGTTGATTCAACACTCCGTCGATAGGTGATCTATGTCAGAATCCTAAACGTATATAATAAATCTAATCTTCAACAGAAACGAAAACGATGGTTAATTGCCGGTATGGATAGATGTGGATACGATAAATAAATACGATCTCGACTCATGCTCTGCTAAGGTATTATATTTAGGTTTATCAAAGCCGATTTTCCATAACCAAATACAAATTCAATAATTTGATAAGATTTTGATAAAAGAAACCGACACATAAGTTTCCATCATTTTTACAGCCAGGTTCCTTTCGATAGCCTCTTTCAACTTGACAATACCGTGAATGTCAAAATCAGCCGTTTGCAGTTAACCAATCTGATACAGAAGAAGCACTAGCTCACCTTTATGAAAAACCACAAACAACACGACTAGTAAACTCAAACAAATCAGCTTTTGTTGCCAATCAGCTCAGCTCCATATCAGTAAGTAGTATAGGAAAATGAGGGTTTTGGCCCCCCACACCTTCCTTCCCCACCCCCGCCAAAACCCTCATTTTCCTATATTACTACTATGTAGACAGATATTTTGTAACCAGACAAAACAACAGGTGTTGGAATGCGATAAGCTCTGTCAACAGAAGTGACGAATTTGTTAGAACAGCGCATGCGTGGAATACGATTATTCTAAAGACAGCAAATGGGTTTTACCACAAATTTTTTATCCGATAACAGGATGAAAATTAAACTGTGTATTAGAACGTTTCAGTTAACAAGGTGGAAATTAAACTAGCATTAGAATGAAAATGATATTATTTTATATCTCATTACCAATGATTAATGTTTCAACTGTTGATATTAAAAATACTTCACTATCACGACTATAGATACTAAATTTTACTTTACCGCTCACACAGCGATGGGACTCAACCAAATCTTTCATTTCTGGTTTGTTCAGAGGATATTTTTTGTTGATAAAATATACCTTTGACCGATCGAGATCAATTGTGAGTTTAGTATAGTTTTGTTGGCTAATGGGGCTGTGAAAGTTTTTAAATTCCGCTAGCAACTTTTGATACAATTGTTCGAGATAATTGAAATACACGCTGTTATCAGATCTGATGAGCGAAAGTTTTAACTTGTCACGTGTTCCATTAAAACATATACCTGATGTTTCATTATTAAATTCAACTGTCAATTGTTTACCGTCCATCATTAGATATTTGATGTTACAATTGTAGCTATTTGTCATTGTCAAATTTTCAAACATTATTTTATAAGTTTAGA